ATTTCAGACCATCACATATGTGTGTTTACGTATGTAAACTTATAAACACACATGCAAGAAATAGGGAAGACTGCATTGTCCCCAAGAAGTAACTCCAACGAAGGATAAGCCTACAGTTCTATTAACGGATGAAGGACAAGATATGTGTGTTTATTTAACTGCTGAGGTGACAGGAGTGCAGGGCTGGTCATTGCAGTTAGTGTCTCCTGCTCAGCTTCCTAGTTGCTACATCTATTAAAGACGGTGATAAGTCAGAAGTGAATCCTTGAATACAATAACCCATCAGTGTGGAAACAATCTCCAAACTAAACTCTCCTGCACACTCAAAGCTATGCATTGTAACAAGAGATAGATAAGGTGTTTCTTACACTCATTGTGCATCCTACAATGATGTGAGTGATTTATTTGGGTAACTCATCCCCCAGAATGACCCAAAAAGACAGGCTCTGTCACTGCCCTCATTCATTGCATGTGGGTTAACTAATAATGAAGAATCCAGAGAGGGGTGACATAGCTCAGGGATGATGGAGCTGGGATATTGACCCAGAAAATACACCTCACATCCCTGACTACATATCACGAGGTGACACCTGTAACAGGTGCTTCACGATCTCAGCTATGTTGAGAATAACCATCCCTTTATGAGCAGATGACCACTCTAAAGATTATTTTATAAACTCATGGAGGGGTCCCATCCAGTTCTAGTGAACGTGAGACTCTGACAATGTGTCTTTCTGCACGAAACCCTGAACAAGAGATTTTGGAAACTGTTTAAAAGTGGATCTGAAGAGTGGTTGCTAACTACTGTTATACCACAATATTAAGTGTGTTTATAGAGCTGTGGGTCAGGGGCTTCTAGACGAAGCTTGACAATTCCTTAGCGGTGTAGCTAGCAGAACACAGAAGGTCATGAGCCACAATGTGGATGCTGGGAATTGAACCTGGTTCCTATGAAAGAGCAGCCAGAGCTCCTAACCACTAAATGATCTCTCCAGCCCTCCATTTATTTATTTATTTATTTATTCCTTAGAAAAATATGTCCCTCTTTGGAAGAGATTATATGCAAAGGAAAACTGTTTACCTTACAGTCAGTTCTTATCTTTTTTGCCTTCGGTGCGGCACTTAACATTTAGCTAGTCTTTGTAATCTTGCAAAGGGCTGACAATAACTCCGCAGGATTTTCTCTCAACTGGTCACTCTCTTGTCACCTCAGGTCTTCAGTCCACATGACAACTCTTTCTAAGACTCCTTGCCTTCCCCTTTGACTGTGAAAGCAGAGAGGGGACGTCTTCAAATGTGGACGTTTAGTGCATAGGACTTTATTCTCATTTACCGTTACAAGCACCCACTCGAGTGATAATTCTTTAAGTGTGTGCCGTGTGAAGATGACATGACAGCACCCAGAGAGAGCAGCATAGGGTCTTCACTGGTGGGAGTGGAGGCACCGTGACCAGGGGGCGTCTACTGCATGGTACCTACTGGGAGATGAAGAGCATCACACCATGAACATCCATAGAAGTTGCTCAAGGACCCATATGATCTCTGTCTCTTCTAGAGTTGATGGTATTTGGCATTTCTGTCTATATCCGCCGAGCCCTGTCCCTCTCTTCCACTGTGGGGTGGGTTGAGCTGAACCGTCCTGAAATGCCCTATTGAGCATTTATTATCTTCACAAACATAGCTCCTCATTTTCCAATCTGGAGTTCAGCGCCGGGAAACATCAGCCCTGGAAACTGAGCGGAGAAGAGTTCAGAATGGACACCTTTCCCACCTAAGGCAGGCTCCCTGTGCCCTACCTTTTATGGCGCGGAGAGTAGAAGCAGCATCGGATCTAACGTTCCAGTGGTCAGGTGGGAATAACAAGATGACCCTGCGGTGTGATTTCCTCCTGAAAGGCATCTTCACATCGGAGCCACGTAACTGACAGCAGACTCTACCACGCACTCATTGGCTGCCAATCAACTCAGCCCTCACTCCGTGTCAAGATGAAGAAAGATCTCCCAAGTGATTCTGTAGATTGTGCCACCCATGTCCACGCCAAGGACACACACATACACACACACACACAGTAGGTTTTAATGTCATCTCTGGAACTAGCTGATGCAATGCTGACATTACCACCTATGGGATCCTATATAGCTTCTCAGGGTTTGTAACATTTATTATTGCTCTCACGTTTTATTATCAGTATATTTTTTTGTTTTTTTTTTTAGACAGGGTTTCTTTGTGGCTTTGGAGACTGTCCTGAAACTACCTGTTGTAAACCAGGCTTGTCTCGAACTCACAGAGATCAGTCTGGCTCTGCCTCCCTAGTGCTGGGATTAAAGGCGTGTGCCACCACTGCCCAGAACTCATGTTTTATTATATTTATTGATCCTTGTATTTGTTTTAACAAAAAAGCTACAATGTTATCTTCTCCTGGGAGGAAAAGGAGTTCAAGAGACATACCCTTCCATGAGAATTTACACAGTGATGACAGTCAATGATGGGAAGAGGGGCACTTTCTTCCGGGGTGCAGCCACTAGTATGAGCACATGCTCCTGGAAATAAACTCCCGCCCAAACTCCTACCAACAACTCTAATGAAACAGGTCACTAGGTCACACAAGGATTGGAAGCAGGACAGAGGCTGCCTGGGGGATTGGACAGAGATAAATGGGGACGGTAGAGGAGAGGGGCAAGGAAGGGTAATAGGGAATGAATATGACCAAAATATATCAAGTACATGTAGAAAAGTGTGTGGATGAATCTCATTATCGTGTATAATTGATATATGTTAATAAAACCATTAAAATGAAAATCAAAGGTCTGTGGTGTTTATCCCTAACCTTCAATACTATAAAGGCCAGTGTTCTTATCCCTCTGAGATTCAGCAGTAAGAACTATAAAGAGCACGTGTGTAGAGACTCTGTGTTTAATTACTCGGTTAATGATTGCATGAACCTTGACCACTCAGATAGGTTGCAGTATGTGTCTGGTGTAGATGAGGATTTGTACTCCAAGTTTCAATTATTTTAACAGAAGTGATCTGAGCCTTCAAAACTGGAGTTGTGAGAATAAGACAAAAAAGGAGCCCCGGGAAAGAGCACTGTGCCAGTGTATAGATGAGTGACAGGATCACAGCCTTTGGAGGAGAAACTGAGGCCAGCCTACCCAAGTCAACAGCTGCCCTGTCCCTGGTGCCCAGGCCAGACCTCATGAGCACATGCATGCAAAGCAGGCACTTCCTCCCTGAGCCAAGCCACCAAGCCTGCCCCAATGCCCAGAGTTTGTCACTGCTAAGGAGAGACAACTGACCCAGAGACACCAATGAGGAAAGGATAATGCAGCAGAGTCAGCCACCTGCACCAATAGGACCTTGGGAGGGGTTATAAAGCCAGGTCTAACTAACCTCCTTAATAAAGCAGTCTGCAGCATGCTCTGCTACTCACTGGCTCCCTGTGCCTGAGTCCTTGGTGCTGTTTCTTCCCACGCCCTCCCCCAAGGGGTACCCCAGCAGCGTAACCCGCAACAAGCCTCGTGGCAAACACTCGCCACGACTGGATTTCAGCAGTTTGGATTGTGAAGTTAGCTACCATGTTTTTTAATCCTGCTCCCCCCAATAGTTTGTCAGCCAACTAACCGTCTCAGATGTTTAACACTCACCTTCAGCAAACTGAGAGCAACCTGGTAATAAATAGAGAGTTGTGTATTTTCGAAAACACTCATGTCCCGTTTTTTCAGTGGCAGTCACAGTCATTCTGAGGGCAAACTGTGATGGCAAATACTGCCCTAGGCAAAACCCACAGGGGGGCCGGGCGTTGGTGGCTCACGCCTTTAATCCCAGCACTCGGGAGGCAGAGGCAGGCGGATCTCTGTGAGTTCGAGGCCAGGCTGGACTACAAAGTGAGTTCCAGGACAGCCTCCAAAGCCACAGAGAAAGCCTGTCTCGAAAAACCAAAAAAAAAAAAAAAAAAAAAAACCCACAGGGGGATCCATTAATCAACACATTCTAGGTCTGAAAGGCTGTAACTGAATTTCCTTAGATCTATTAGAAGTGAATCCCATTAACTTTCTAACTTCTGGATCCTTGTATTTCTGGAAGGATGGCAGCATGAAGACAAAGACAGTCTTGACTCTGGAAAAGGCTGTTCAGTGGGAAAACTGTTTGATTCCCAACTCTTTCTGTAGGCATTGACACGTGAATGCATGTCACATCCAGTTAAAGGACAGGGAGGGAGGCCGCCCACTTTATCACCACAACGTCTCTGTAGAGACTCTACTGACAGGACTCTGGCTGCCGAATGACTCTGCTTTTTTATCTGAGAACAGATCCTATTACTGAGGAAAGGAGTCTCCATTTCCAAACTCATTAAACTTGGGGATATTCTTCCATCTGTGAATATGACTTTGTATTGTTAATCTACTGTTATTTTTAGTCGAACAGAATGTTTTCCCCGGAATAATAAAAAAAATAAAGATAATTCGGTTTGTTTGTATAACCACTTAACTCTTAGCTGAAAGTCATTAAGCTTTTTTCCTGAGATTCGCTGGTGATTTGCATATAGCATTTACAGTATGACTTGCTTGGGAGCACTGGCAATTTTGGATGGGGGCTCTTGGCACTGGTTTTATAGACCTGTGTATTTTCGTTGAACCATCTGGATGGAAACCATGAGTGGAGGGAAGGTTCCCTCAGAGAAATGTAGTGTTAAGTTAGGTGAAGTGTCCAAATGAGATCTTATAAAAGTCAACATACACCAAGCCACGTTGGTGAATTCCATCTACACTGCAAGGACATGGGCATGCCATGTGAAGGGCTTGGAGACCACAACTGATTAAGTAGACCACATGGTCATCCTATCCTGGGGCCTCTTTTTTAAATTTTTAATTTTTTTAATTTCCCACTAATGTGGAATTGTCATCTGGTAGGAACTGTGAAGGTGGTTGCTTTCTTTGAACGAAGCTTGCGGCAGCAACGATTAAATGTGGTGTGTATTTTTTTTGTTATTGTTGTTGTAGCAAAGCCATTTGAGAATGGACAGTATTTGGACATTTATGGAATTACAAGGGACCAGGCTGGGGAGTATGAATGCAGCGCAGAGAACGATGTTTCATTCCCAGATGTGAAGAAAGTGAGAGTGGTCGTGAACTGTAAGTACCTTCCGTTTATCACCGTTAACTCTTGGTAAATGTATGGTGCCGCTGTGGTTGCTCTACTCCAAGGGGCCCTTACTGGTGAGCGCCGCTTACCTAGGTCAGACCTATATATGCACAACAGCAGCCCCGGCAGATCCCAGTGGTGGTTTGGATGATGTACAAACAGAAGTCTCCCAGTACGGTCTTCACCTTTGCCTCTAAAGCACCGTGCACACACGTGGTGCCCCCTCCTCCTCCCGAGTCTGACATGGTGGATACCTGAGCTCCAGTGCCTGACTTGGTGGACACCCATCCTGAGCTCCAGTGTGCAGGTCTTGATCAGACCTGATAGGCACAAGTAGGAAGCCTTAGGGTGGTAAGGCTTGGCCAGTTGGATGACTGGATTCTATTTAGCTTGGTAACAATGGGTAAATTAACAAATCGTTTCCCCCATAAACTCTATCATTGTGAAGTTAAGAATGAGCTCGATGAACTCAAGAGTGTTCAGCACTGACACCACACCCCTTTTCAAGATGAGAAAACAACAGGTGCAAGTATTCTTGACCTGTGTGTAAAGCCATCTTCACTTTTCCTCAACATACCTTAAGTTTTTCTTTCACATTTGTATTTATCATTTGATCTCTCAAAGGAACTACTTTGAGGATAAGAGTGTCTTACCTGAAATATGCATACATTAAGATACATCTTCTCTATGTTTTCAGTCCATTTATGTACCTTTTCACCTATGACCTTTGCTAATGTAGTATTGACAACCCAATCTCATGGGATTGTCCTAAAGATATCCATCAACGCTAATGGCAGACAGCAGCTACTTTATGTGAACCTGAGTCTTCTGGTCCTTGTGAGGCAAACGCAAACTCTCTAAACATTCGTGGCACCCAGCTGCCTGCTGGAGCAGACCACTCTCATCAGCCTTTGTCACCCGCCGACCACTTTGGGTAAAATAAGACTAAACAAGTGAATAGCATGCCTGACCAGGAGGCAGTTCCTGGAGGAAATGTTCACAATTCTGTGAAGAAAACAGCATTGTTCTTAGAGAAGGCCTTGAGGAGCTCAAGGCTCCGAGAGCCACCTCAGACCAGCAGAGCCCGAATCCCATGGCTATTGCCTTGGAGGTCAGCTTTTTGACAAGTTCCTAGCTTCTTGAGACTTTTATGGCAGAAGATTTACAATGATGTTCAAGACTTTTATTGCAGAGAGTTGCTTGATCCCTCTAGAATTCAGGAATGGAAGATAACAAACCAGACAAGAGATCCTGGTGATTGTATCACCAAGTATACTTGCTGGTTTTTTATTTTTACATGGTTGGGATGGAAGAAACAAGTAAGGAGTGAGTACTAAAAAAAAAACGAAACTATAGTCAACATTGTCAATAACAAACACGGAGACCTAGATGTATCCACCCTGGGCCTACCTGGTCATTAAAAGTATGTCTCTGATGAGGGCGCAGATAGCCAGTGACTGAGTGGTGTAAGGAAATCTCATCCCCAAGGATAATCCCCTCCACTCTCCCCACACAGTCCTGTCTACCCCACCCATCCCCCAGTTCATTGTTACTGGAGTATTACATTGTTTTCCTAGTCAAATAAAAACTTTAGTCCTGAAGAGAAACTGAATAGAAAAGTCCTTCAGCCCAACTAGTTGCCCTCAAAAAATCTGTGTGGAGAGAGGAATCCAGCCCATGCAAATGTCCGAGATGGGCAATCAGGAGTCATAACTGAGAGCTGAGACCATCTGATGGCTTCCTGGTGCTAGAGGAAGTATAAACAAAAGACAATCTGCCACCCACTGTGCCATGAGAGCAGAGTATTATTGACAATGGATGCCGGTTTTCCCCAGTTCCGACGACCATGACTAATCTGTAGACCGGGCTGTTACTAACCACATGGTGCTTCATACCACAGGCACAAACCCTGGACTTAGGACACAGGATGGACCACATGTCACCAAGAAAACCTTCCCCAGGCATCAGGAGTCAAGTCCTTGTTACACCAGACCACAAACAGATCTGCCCCTCACTCCCCAGATACAACAGCACTGTCCCCAGATTATATGGTTACAGGTCGTAAATTAGAAACAAGCGTTCTGCCCTCAACACACGAAGGGGTGACAGAAGCCGTGGAGAACTAACTCCCTGTGCACTGTGCATAAGGCAGAAGTGTGAGAGTTTGTGCAAAGATCCACAAACTGTGGAACTTGGGTCCGTGACCTACTTAGTGTGAGAGGGACCTCAGAACAGGCAACAGTTAGGACAAAAACAAACAAACAAACAAAACCTTGATCACCATGAAAAAAGCCATGTCAGGATAGAAACAGAGAATTGGGAAGAAAGGTGGGGAAATATATTTTTTAAATTAACAACAAAATTCCCTTTAAAATAATTAATTCGACACAGATATAGCTACAAGTAGAATTTTCACTATGAAATGATGCTTGTCTCTTCTACCTTTAAAATGCAACTGACAACATTCTTCTTAACATACTTTTTTATTGATTTACAAACCAATTAAATAGAAAACAAAATAAATGTCCTTGGTTTTGGTTAACCCTGCTTACCCCCGTTCTGTGTTAGCCTATTTCCCGTCCCTTACGATATCACTTTATCCTAAAGCTTTTGTTCCAGTTTCTGACTCCTTCAGATAATCCAGTTAAACGCACTGAAGCTAGGATACAGAGATATGAGAGTATGTGACATCTATTTTCCACTTTCAGCATTTACCTAAAAATGCATTTCCTTTCTCCTTGTAACTAAATAAAATCCCACTATGTATATGAAACAGTTGATGGCATCTAAACTGACTCCATGTCCTTGCTCTTGTGGATAGAAAGGACAGCAGTGAAAATGGATGGATGTCTCTGATGTTGGATGAAGACGAGTCGGGCATGGGCTGAGGTGTGGTGTGGTTGGGTCATGAGGTCAACCTGATTTTAGCTTTTGAGCGGCCTCTACCCTGAATTCCACAGCAGGAGCACAAGCTCACACTCACAGGGAGTGTGAGTATGCGATTCTCTCTCCTGCATCCTTGCTGCATTTGCCATGTTTTGTCTTTTGTTCTCTTTAAATCACAGTTTCAGCCACTCAGAAGTTAACAAATATCCCATGAGCAAATGGGCTGAGCATTGGTGTTGTTGAGTTTCGTTATTTCCTGAGGCAACATGGTACACATCTGTGTACTGTCTGACGTGCAGATGTGCGCAGTGTAGTGTGCGCATTGTGTCTCCTGGTTGGGATAAAAGTTTCAAAGGAGTAATCTTGTGAAATTGCCCCTTCCAGTGCCAAAGGCTGAGAGCTGCCTGTGGCTTTTTACTGAGCTGACTTCACAGAGGCAAGGATCCAAAGTCCCCCATTTCACAAAAGTCACAGACCCAGCAGAGTGGTGCAGCAGCAGGCAGACACAGAAACACACATTCCTGGTAAAATCCAGATGCCCCTAGAAGCATGGCTGGCAGGCACCCTCTCATGCATCCATACCTTGGATACACATGAGGAGTTCTGAATATATACATTAAGCACACGCATACACACATGCACTGACACGCAGGACACACATGTACGTACATATTATACATTTGCACTGAGCACCACTGGGGAGGTAGGGAGAGTGGAAAGAGACACTTGTTAGTCCATGTGTAACTACTGGATTTCTCTGTGGACAGATTTATTTTCTTATTGGCATTTGTGTTCCACTCTCTCTAACAACTTAGTAAGTTCCAGACCCATGTTCATTAATTACTAAGTCGAAGGTTGATTGAATTTCATAAAGCCCATGTGTTGACCTGAAGGAAAAAAAGCAGGAACAGAACCAGGAAAGTCCTAGCCTAGAGAGGGGAAACAGAATGTAGACTCTCTAAATAGAGAGAGGTTGAGGCTGATCATGCAGTGGAGTTTGGGATCTGGTTCCCAGATCTCAGGGTGCAGAGACCCAAGACACTAGTGTTCACTGGTAATGCTGGTACTGAGTGGTAGGATAGGAATGACCAAATCTCTGTCCTGCTGGAGGGGATCTTCTAATGGAGAGTGTCTTGAAAATGTGGTCCTTACAGTCTAGTATAGTTCATGGAATCTTATTACGGTTGAACATTATCAAATAAACTGTCTTCCTAGGACCAGCTGACCTCTGACACCCTAGGAAAGCTTGAGTTTCAAATTCCATTTCTGTAAACACAAGAACATGCATTTTCCATGTATGTATATAGTAAGTAGTAAATGTTTTGTACATACAAAACCGACAAGAATAAATTTGGTTGTGAAGCCGGACATGGTGGCACATGCCTTTGATCCCAGCACTCAGGAGGCAGAAGTAGGCAGATCTCTGTGGGTTTGAGGCCATCATGGTCTGTAAACTGAGTTCCAGGACAGCCAGGGGCTACACAGAGTAACCCTATCATAAAAAAGCAAAAAGAAAGAAAGGAAAAAAGGAAGGGAGAAAGGAAGGAAGGAAGGAAAGAAGAATGGATGATGGATGGATGAATGAATGAATGAATGAACGAACAAATGAATGAATGAAAGAGTTTGGTCGACTGTGAAAAGTGAGGTCTATGTGGACAGGGGTCTCGTGTTCTTTGGAAACCAGTACTCCCTCACTTAGTGCAACACAGAAGAACCAACAAAAGACCCTGAACACTGTTGCTGAGTGTTCCCCCAGTCCAGTCAAAGGCATGTGCCACCATGTCTGGCTTCACAACCAAACTCTTAATTACAAAACATGCATATAATATTATACTTATACATTTATTCTTATAGGTTTTGTAAGTGCAAAAAACATTTACTACTTACTACACACATACATGGAAAATGCATGTCCTTGTGTTTACAGAAATGGAATATGAAACTCAAGTTTCCCAAGGGTGTCAGAGGTCAGCTGGTCCAGAATTAGCAGATTTCCCTGGAACTTTGCATAGATGGCATGTTAACCAAGTATTTCTTTCATTCTTTTATTTACTTTTATTCTTCTCTCATATATTATTGCATCTTGACCACTGTTTCCCCTTCC